TGTGCCTAAAACGGACACATTTCAAGGTTCCACACCAATGGTTGCCTTCAAAACAGTACTGCAAGGCAATACAAGGTTCCGAATCATTCATGTAACTCATTTGTGTTCGTCCTAAGAAATCCACGCATTTCTCCTACCACTTGCACTTGAGCGTGACATGTGGGTCAACGACGCTAACTCTGTGTCCAATTATCATCAGAATGCTTTGGATTCTCTCTTGATTGTTATTCGACGAATGTAATCTCTTGTTGGCGACATTTAATTTAACATCGCCAAATTTTCTTGTGACAGGTTTAACATTACTATCCATTGACCGACTTAACTCGAGTTGAGTTCATTTGGTTTATTCATCCCTTCAATTACTACGTACATCTGATCTTTCCTACCTCCGAAGTAAAGAAAAATTTATGCACTAACTACCCTTTTTTAACATGGTTTTCTATGGAGCTAACTTTTACACGACACCCACATGATTGTGAGTGTTGAATTACAAAAGATGCATCCCACCTTGGTAAGCAGTTGCTCCCTCAAGTGCATCACAGCTAGTTATAAAATTATTTTTCATCTGTGCATATAATTATAGAGTTGGTTGGTGAGGATCCTAGCATTTAATGAGTTCACGACATGTGCCTCCCAATAAAGATAATATCTCACCCATCAGCCATAGGGAACCCATTCGTTATTGATCACATTATACTATCATTAACCTTCTCTATTTTTATACTTGGACCTTATCAACCTCTTCTTCGATATCCTACTTGTATCCATGTGACTCACCTAATATTTATGGCAGTATGGGGCGATAATCCCTTGGCAACTACTTAGTATATACCAAAGACCAAAACATGAAGTAAAAATTATTGAACTTCTTGTTACGGCTGTTAATACTTCTTTCATGTAGTTTTATTTGGGTTGGATTATTTGACACTAAGCTAGATTATTGTAATTTTGTACCCTCTTCCGGTGCGATTTTCTTCATAACTAGGCCACCTAAGGCAAATAAAGGGAAGAAAGAAGAGGGGTTTGGCTCTATGCTACAGGAAGCCTCCAGTGTGACATTTTTAGTGTGACATTTACGGTTTTTGAAAAAATAAATTGAGACGAAGAATTTTTAGCCTTTAGTGAGCATGCCTTGGTTGTGTGTAAGGCTTGTCTTTATATAAAGATGAGTGTATGGGATCCTAGGAAGATAATATCAATTAATGTTATCTATTTCAGCACGTGACATTATTATTAACTATAAATTTGATGAAAGTTACCTATGTTACAGGCCTTTCTTAATTAGTTTTGATTGGACCGTTGGATGAGTTGTCGAGATTATTGTACATAATTAATCCATATCACCTGATATAATCAATGCTTATAAGCTTCTCAAGAATGAATCCACTAACGTAGATGCTTCATGCTGCAATTTGTGGTGAAGTGAAGCTTTACTTTTTCTAGCTTTACACATTACAGGAAAGTCTCAGGCATCACTGTGATCCAAAATGTGCATTTTCCTATTTATATGCATCTTGGTCACACATGGTCAAAGTTGGAGGCTTCATGGAGATCCAAGCAAGGATTAATTTTGAAGTTGGCATTTAATAATAATAATAAGAAAAAGAAATCGAGGTTTAGTGGATCTTTCTTATGGGTTGTCCCAATGGTTTCATGTGCTAGGTTATTTTCTTTATTTATAATTTACGTGTCTGTTTATTGTTAATATCATAAAAAACTAAAGATGGTACTGTGATAAGGGTGCCCATAGTCAGATTATCAAGAATATCCGTAGTTGACGCTTTACCTGCTCCCTTTTCGTTAGAAGGAGAATTGAGGTACCCTCCTCATAAAGTGACACTTCTATCCCTTTCAGACCTATATCTTTCTCTTCCAGAATTAAGAGCAACTGTTCATATGTGTTTTGTCGAGTTTGTGCTGTATTTAGAAAAATACATATCATCTAATACATTGTTTTGCAAATCAACCCGTTATCTTACAAATTTATTGAGATTAGACTTCTACGGAATACATCTTTTAAGCTATTTGAATCTACCACCAATCTATATAAATCAATTTTGAGTTAAAAGAGAATAAAAATCTACAAAAATAAATGCAAATGTCTGAACATGATATTCTATATTTCATTTAAGAGAAAAGTCTCTCGTAGACAATTTTTTGAAACGCTGAGATCGTATCCTACCTTTGGTTAAGGTAGAATACGATCAACTATCATTTTTTTTTTCCTTTTTTTTGCAAGAGCTTCAAGAGCTCTTAACTATCGTTAGTTGCATAAGAACTCATTCAAAAATGAGAAAGAAAAATAAAACTAAAGAAGTAAGAAGGGTTTGCATTTGGAAGCAAGCAGGATAAAAAATTAGGAAGAAACACAAGATGTAAAAATCAAGTACCTATGGAAATATTTTTTAAATGAATTTTCACATTCTTTAATTATTGAATAACTTCTTTTTCCTTAAAATTTTTGTGTATAACTTCGTCAACTTATTGGGATATGTTGGGAGACTCGGGAATCCAGTGATTTAAGGCCCAATATATAATGTCAGAAAATCTATACTCACCTAAAAGGTTAAACTTTTAAGTGATGAGTCTATCCATTTTATATTAAGATGTTTTAACTTATTTTTCTATCTGATGTGAAATTCTCACGTATACAATTTTCAACAATCTCCCTTTCATATGTGAATCACATTGGGCTTAGCTCCCCCTCGAATCTAATAGACCACTCTCCACAAGCACCGCATCCAACTATTCTTTATAAAAGTATGTTGTTCCAAATATCAAAATTTTTCTCATTTATTAGTCACAGTATTGCCACTTTGTCAAAAGCCATTGCGCTCAACCCCACACCTTTCTCTTTTTTTCGACTTGCATTTACATACCTTCAATACTAAGTGTCCATCACTTTTTTTTAAAATTCACCATTGGTACCAACACGCTACACTTCGAATGTTTACATAGGATTGTCAGCCATCGACTCTAATACCATTTGGTAAAAGACTAGAGAGTTCAATGATGTAAGGCCCAATATGCAATATATGAAAGTTATACCCACCTAAAAGTTTAAATCTATAAGTAGTGAATTCATTCATTATATATTAGAAAACTTTAACTTATTTTTTTATCCGATATAAGATTCCACCACATGCAATACCCAACAATATAAAACTGTAATGTTTGGGAGATCAAATGAAAAGAAAAAAAATGCAATAAATTAGGGATGGGAGGGAGTTTTCCTACCTATTTCTTGAATTCTTAGAATTTTAATTTTTTTTTTAGATTCCTTAAATCATTGTTCAACACTTGACTCTTATAATCTTACATTCTTTGTCAATTAACTACTTTTCCTATAATTTTTTTTAATTAATTTTTATTCCTTATAACTTTTGATAACTTTTTAAACTTTTCTAATAATTTATAAGATACGAGAGGAGATAAGAGTGCAAAATAAAAAAAAATGAAGAGAAAAAAGGATTATAAATTTCATATATCACACAGAAACAATGTTGATATCAAATTAAGTTTCAATATCATTGCTCTACCATACCATCATGGTGATGTTTAGATGTGCATTTAGTACTTCTGACCCAAAAAGAAGTCACGTGCCACATCACATGGCAACATTGCATGTCTCAACCGGTAACTAATTAAAGATTTGAAATTCAATGACAATTAATACTAATAAAACATAACCAATTTTGAGTCTCTCAATTTAGCCTACCACAACAACGGTATAGACTGCTTCAATTTTTTTCAATTTATCCAACAATTTAAAATCCATCTCTAAATTTATTTTTCCGCCCAAATTCAAAAATCATCCCATACGTTGCACGCCCCAAACTTTAGACACCCACCCCCAATAAATACTGTAAATTCATCCCTCTCTTTCTCTCTCTACCTAGCAACCCATGATCCTCCCTCTTCTTTCTTTTCGCTCTCTGCCCCTCACATACTCTCTCTCTATGGCTTCATCTTCAATACACGCACAAAGCACACACACACCAAAATTGATTGTGGAATTGATTTATTGTCTTAATGTTTGTGTTGAGTTGATTTAATTGGAATTAGGTGTTGATATAATTGGATTTAATTACAATTTCTAAGTTAAAATTGAAATTAGGTGTTAATAACTTTGAGGAATAATTGATTAGTTGCTATTTTTTGGTGTTGATAATTGTTGGGAATAATCTCAAGCGAGGGAGTCAATGCCTTCAGTCAGCTATATCACTTCCATTACGGGAGAAAGACGACACTATAAATCTTTCCACTTTTCTGCCCTTTCTTGAGCAAGTGGAGTTATGAAAACTATTTACTTTGCAAAATCATCCGTATTAATTTTCATTTTTTTGTCCTTGGTTCTTAGAGCTTTGCCACCACCGCGCATGAAGAATGTGTTCACATTGTCGTACGTTGATGGTCCACTAACAGCCAAGGTATCCTAACAAGTTGGTACTTTCTAATGGGTTTTCAAACAAGAATGGTATTTATAATTTATAATTGTTATTTCAGTATTTTAGAATTAATACTTATTTAAAAATTAAATAATTTTGCATGATATTTATTTTTTATATTTTATTTTTATTAATTTTCATGGGCGAATGCTTGTTTTTATACATAAAATTACTTTTAGAGAGTTTTTGCTCTCAAATATTTTTAAATTTTATTGCGTTTGTGCTATTGCTTGCGCTCCTCCGGCTCTATGTAATCTAAATTATTATTAATGATTTAAAAAGTTAATAAATTAAATTCAATAATATTGTTCAATAATTAAACTGTGAGAAGAAAAACTACGGATTAGGATAATTATATAATTCAGATTTATAAATTATTTGACCCCAATTGCATCTTAAATTTACGTGTTTCTGAAAAAACTTTTACGGTGATGAGACTACGTCGACCGTACGACTGAGAAATCATAAGAAGTTGGCAATTTCCCAGGACCAAAATCCTCGTCGGACCCGACTGACGGCGTCACTGAAAGACGGACCCGTTACCCGTCACTGATGAGGACTGTCTTGCACTGTCGACGGTCAAATCAAACCGTCAGTGATGCTTCTGGGGAAGCTACTACTCTAATCTTAAAAGCTAGAATTTTAAAACGAAGGTCTGCTAGCGATGGATGGGGATCCTCTGCTTGTGTTAGATCTACAAAATCGATGTCACCGGTAAATTACATTTTGATCCTTTAAACTATGAACTCGATTTTATTAGGCTCTTTGAACTATTGAATTCACATTGTTCTCTCAATTCCTTAAATAATTTTGTATTATTTCAATCGTAAACGTTATTATTTTTTTTGGAAAAAATGTATCAATGCATCAAAATAAAGTAAAAAAAATTATATAGTTTAGAGGTAAAATAAAACAACTTTTTGTTAAATATATAATACACATTAATAATTGGAGCGATGTGAAATTAATCACATAATTGATGATATAATATAAAAAATCTGATATTTAATGCAACAATGTGAAGAAAAAAATTAAAGTTGAGGGATCAAAGTATAATTATTTTTTCTTTACACACAAAACAATGTTATTTTATATGTAAAACGAGCATCATTTTTGGGAAAGAACAGACCCACTTAAGATGGGGTGAAATGGTATTCATAGAAGTTTTTTGGCTCTTTGATTGATTTAATTATGACTATGGGTTAAAAAAATAATAACCATAAAGTAAAAAAAAATCTACAGAGTGTCATAGTTTTATTAATTTTTAAAAATATATACTAATAAATATTTTTTTTAGACATAACTTAACCTAGACTCAATCCAAAATATTCATATTTAAAAGAGAAATTTATATATTTAGGTTGAAATTGAAAGAAAAAAAATCCAACTAATTTTAGTTGAAATAATACTAAAGGGATTGAAATGTCAAACCCAAATTCAAATTCATCGTAAATTCAACTAAATCTTTTTAGCTTGTGTTAACGTTGAATTAAATTCAAATGGAATCCAATATTAGATTGTGTTTTAAGGTTACGTGACTTCAAGTGAGTTGGAATTCATATTTCAAACCCTCCAACAAACCAAGATTATATTCATCTTTTTTTCTATGAGTTTTATGAATTTAATATTTATTATACTTTAACTCTTTTAACTATATTGTTAATCTCGAATTGTATTTTTAACTATCACATTTTTACATTGCATGCCCAAATATATTTCTTGTATAAAATAATGTTATTGACACCTAAAAATTTCATACCATTTATTGACCTGATGATGTACTTTTTTTTATTATAACTATTGGATGAAAAATAAGTTTCAATGTTTAATAGGGCTCTCAGTCAATTGAAAGGTTATGAGGTCAAATTTTTAGGTCCTAGCATTACTCTATTGTATAACATTACCTCCTAAATTATCACATTTTCACATTGACCTATCAAGTATTGTTATCATTTTACATCACTCATTTGTAAAACATTTTTTTAAGGGTAGTTTGTTTAGCGAGAGAATGGTAGAAAATACAAGTTAGAAAATTTTTTAAAATTTTTTATGTGATTGGTTAGCATAAAAATGAAAATGATAGAAAAAATAATTTTCTTTCATTCTTGAATTTTCTCACAAATTACTAACTTTTTTTTTCTTGTAAAAAACTCAAGAAAATGTAAGAAAATTGTGATCTATAACTAACTTCTTATTTTACCCTTATTTTTCTTAAAATATTTTATTGGTTATTAATTTTAAAAAATTTTGGTATGAATTTGATTAATCATATAATTTGACTTAAAGACTTTTGCATTGATAATTGTCTTAGAATTAGATTTTAAGTCACTATTTTTAAATTTTTTACATATTTTTTTTTATTTTTTAGACCGATTTAATATAATTAAAAGGAATTTAGACAATTGTAAAAAATTTCTTATAAGTTTACTTCTTTCAAATAATAAAATGAATTTTTTTTAAAACTTTCTCTTAAATTTTTTATTATAACTAAATACATGCATTAAAATATTTTTTTTATTATTTTATTTTCTTTCATTTCATTTTCTATCATTTTTACTTTCCATAATTTTTTTTTCCTAATTAAATTGACTCTAAGGGATTCGTAAACATTTATATACAAGTAATTTATTCTACACATTAATCTTTTCCATTCAAAAAAAAAAGGGTATTTGGTTTGAGTTAGTATGACATTGTAGGGGCAATCTCGTACTTGTCAGGGATAATCATATAGAATCTGAGTGTATGGTTTTCTCGGGAAAAATGAAATCAACAATATCTTTTTCCTACTATTTTTTTTTTCTTCTTCCTGCTAAACGATCAAGGTCGCAGGTGTAAGCGGATAAAATCCCCTTGCTCGTTAGTAGACAGTATTTATCCTCCTTATAGTCAAGATTCTTACAAAATGAACAATTGTCTAAGATTGACGTGTTTCGATCTAAGACACTCAAATACTTAAGTCAATATATGAAAAAAAAAATAATAATAAGACTGTATTTTGGAAGAATTTCACGTACCTTCACTATTCATCCTTACTGGTTTATAAAGACGCCAATGATCTCTTTCTCTAGAGAGAATGACACATTCCCCTTCAATTCAGCCTTGTCTGTTAGGTTTCCCCAAGATTTCTCTAACGCTCCCTTAATCTCAACCCATGAGCTGTTTAGATTTATCTAGCTAGCATAATCGAATCCCTTGAATATAGGTTGCGATCATGTTGTTCGGTTCTTATCCTGATCTGGCAAAACTTTTCTGTTCGATTATTCTGCCGACCTAATCAATTCGGTTCGGCTATAGCAGAGCCTAAACCTTCACGTGACCCCCCTACATGACTATTTACACATGACATAGTTTTATGCCTCTTCTAGAGGTATTTCGATATTTAAGATAATAAAGACTCTTGAGAATAATAAACAATTTTTCAGTATAGAATAAGCAAGTAACTTGTAAGAAAAAAGAAGTACGTACTTTAAACTTAAACCTACTCGGTATTTATGATGGTATGTACCTTTTTATAGGGTTTCTATCATTGGCAGGTGACATGCCTATTTTTTAACCAAATTTTTCTTTATTCATGTTGGAATCTTTCCAAACTTACCTTCTTATTGATCTATTATTTAGGTCACATGTTTTTAATGTGCATTATTATTAAGGCAATTTTCTTATTAGTTGTCTGGTATTGCGTCTAATTATTTGGGATAGCCTAGCTATCTTTTTACTCGATCTGAGTTCTTATCAATGACTAGACTTCATCCTATCAGCCACATCAATTTTTTAGGGATAGTTTGTTCTTGTTTGGATATGCCTCAATTCCCACACGATAGAGTCAAATTATTACTTGACTTCTAGTCTTGTTGTATCTTTTTTTTAAGCATATTTTATTAGGTTCTACTCGGCATACACTTCTTTACTCGAGAATACTTTCCACCGAGCAGACCATTTTCAATTGATTTATTTTCAAGTTGGATTTCTACTCAATATGCTCGGCTGAAGCCAAATTTTGATTGATCAAACTACATTTTTTTGCTCGATCAAACCATTATCTATTAGGTCGGGATTTTATTTGCGCAGTCATAGTCACTTAAAACAATTCTTTCAACATGTATTAATTGTAACCTGTTTAGGTCCACTAGCTAAATTATGATTAGAAATTATGAACCACATCGAAATTAGTTCTAATAATTGAGAGGATAATGTGAAATCAAGATTATAGTAGAGCCTCAGAGCAGTGTTATCAGAACCGGACCGAACCGGGTGGTTGGACCGGTTCAACCATGAATCGGAACCTAGATCGGTCTAATTTTCTAGTTAGACCGCATAAGGCAGTGAACGGGCTATAAACCAAAAAATTGGCCGATTTTTATTAAAATTTATGAACCGACGATTTTATAAAAGCCAGACAGTTTAATACCCATTTAAAAATTAAATTACATAAATAAATTAAACACAAATTTGTACAAGATTTAGGGCTTTTTTTGCCCTAAATCGCAGAACAAAAGGCACCACCACCACCAGGCTCCAGCAACATCAAGGCCTCAGGCGACTTCTGGACTTCGACTGCGATCAACGGCATCAGCCACAACGATTAGCAACCAGGGAGGGATCTTTGACTACGACCAGCGATCTGCGACTACGATCAACGAACCCAAACTGCTATCAGCCATGCAACCAGTGAACCCAACGAACCCAGACTGTGATCAGCAACTCAGGTGAACCCAGCGAACTCAGGCGTCATCTCCTCCCTTTAAGGTAAAAACTTTCTTTCATATCTTATACAATAAAACTATGGTTTGTGTTTTTGAGCATAATATGATCTAACCAAGTTTGTGTTTGTATTTGTATTTTTGATTGTGAGTCCGTAACAATGTGACTACATCTTTTATTTTTTTATTTTTTAGTATGATAAGTGATGTTTGTTTAATTATTTTGTGTTTTATTCTGCACATTGTTGGTTGATTTTGCACATTATTGGGTGATTTTGTACATTTTTTGGTCTGAGACAATGTGACCATAAAATCAATGTATTTTGCACATATTTTATTTATTTTTAGTTAAATTATTATATTTTATAATTATTATATATTTTTTTTTATTATATGGCCAGCTCGACCAGTGACCTACCAGTTGAACAAGTAAACCATTGACTTAGTCCCCTAGCCGGTTCAATAACTAGTCTGATTCTGATAACATTGACTCAGAGTTTAATTTACCATTTATTTTAAAATGAAAAATGTTTATGGTGGATATCATTATCAAAAAAATAGCGCCACCGTAAAATCTATTTAAATCATAGTCAACCTTCTCCAAAAATATAATTGCACATACAAATAAATAAGGAGTTGTTTACAATACCAAGAAAAAAAATTGTACAGACATTTATCAAATTTTTAGATTTTTTTATCACTATTGTGAACCAAAAACAATATAAATAATAGTTATCATAATACTGATAAAAATAATTGCAATACTGATAAAAAGTACTTACAAAGGTGATCATTTTTTTAGGACCAAAAAAAGTAGTAAAAATAGTTATCATAATATATATATATATACTGCTTATAAATGTCAGCACCTGCAAAAAAATTCTAATTTCTTATTTTATTACTAATTATTTTAATAAAATCAATTATACCAACTTACATATTTTCATCTAATTTTTATTTTTTACTTCTATTTGACTTTTAACTTGTTTTGATCTCTTTTATAAAGATTTTTAAATTTTTTTAAACTCATTTTATTAGTAGTATAGTTATGTACAACTTTCTATATGTATATAAAAAAGTAAAATCTTATATATATTAAATTATTGTACTTATAAAATTACCAGATGAAATTTCACGGTCAATTAGATGTTATATTATATTTCTTTTGGTGTAGGATAATATAATAATGTTATAGACGATCTAATCAATTTATTTAATAAAATAAAAAATGATAATGCTATAATATAATTAGATGTAGAAATGGTTAAAGAAGTCAAAGGGATACCTAAACAAATAACTAATTATGTACTTAAAGACTTATAGAATAAATTAATACTTAAATTTAACAATAATTAAAAATAGATTAATTATTTGACACTTAATGTATTATTTAATTTAATTACACATATAATTCATTTTTTTTATAAAAAAATATTATTTAAATTTATTTGAGTGTAACGCACGTTGTGCATTACTAATAGTGACAAAGACACTCACAATAATAATAAAAAAAAAACCCACAAAAATAATTAATCTTTCATAAAAATAATAAAATTTTTAATTATAAAATAATCCGCAACATTATAAAACACATCTATTAAAATAATAAAATTTAAAAATACGATACCAAATTATTTTTTGAGAACCATTGTCAACTCCCACAAATAAAGACACTCTCAACCGTCCTTTTTGGGTAGAGTTTTGATTAGTTGGCATTGGGCACTAACATTTATGAAATCAACACAGTAAGAGCACATTTTGTAGAATTATTGATAATCATGGTGCCCGTTATTCTATCCTCTACCATCAATAATGGAATCAGCAATTCAGCCAAGTGACCATTTTAACCTCCGACAACGACAAAACTCTATGGCTTAAGCCCCAGTGTGTTATTCAACCAAACAACCTACACAAATCAGATACCACTTTTTTTTTTTTTTTTGGGGAGGAGGAGGGGTAGGACTTAAATTTATGATATTAAAAAGGTAGAATTTTAATAAAATAAAGAGTATAATTAAACTAAAGACTCGTTGATAGATAAATCAAATATCATGGACCCCATCATTAACATATAAGATTAAAGAATCATATCATGATAAACCATGCTAATATTAGTATAATTTGGATCATATAGTATAGTAACATAATTTTTGCATATTAAAAATTTACGTGGTAAATAAGAGTCTAGAAATAATGAGATATTTTTATTTTTGGTAAAAAAAAAACATAATTGAAGATAAGTCAACGTCGTTGAGTGAAAATAATAATAAATAGCATTTTATATAAAAGAAAAAAGAGGTTAATTGGCAAAACATAAGGGGAAAGAGAGGATGATAATATTTATCCAAAAAAAATGAAAAAAAAAAGAAAAGAAAAATAGAAAGAGTTAATTGGCGAAGCGTACGGCAAAGAGCGGATAAAAAAAGGAGATCCTTTGTATATTGTTTTGTGGGTAAGCAAAAAAGATCCCTTTGTAGGACCAATGCGCACAGTCCATGTTGTGGGTGGGTATAGGAAAACAGATAAGGGCAAAAAGCCTACCTGTTGACTTACTACGCACAAGTGAAATAGCCTCCACTTGCCGGCCACATAGTAAAACCAAAACAAACCCTCCACCCCATTTAAAAAATTAACCTCGTGAAAAGCCTCTGCCCTCTGCCCTCTGCCCATCAGATTGTCATAGAAAGACCATGAGAGTGAGATTCCAAATACCAAATTTTGGCAGCAATAGAGAAACAAATATGGAGCTTCCGCACTGATCATTTTATATCTGCCACGAGAGAGAGAGAGAGAGAGAGAGAGAGAGAGAGAGAGAGAACTGACTAGACTATGTGGGTTGTTGTATAGATAAAGAGCGTTTCTTTGTCGTCTTCATCAACTCTGTTTCTGTGTAAGCTATTGTCTATCTATTTGTTTTTTGGTTTACTAAATCTTCAAACCCAAATCCATAAACCCTCTTTTAGCACCACATAATTGAAGGGGAGAACAAAGAGTAGGAGAAAATTGTTGGACTTACATACAAAGATTGTGGCAATGGTTTTGGGATGGCGACGAGCGTTTTGTACATCGATCGCACGAGACCGAGAGCAGAAAGTGGTGAAAGAGAAGCAAGAACACAGCAACGACAATCCTACTCCAAAGAACAGCTCCAAATTTGGGTTTTTCTCCAATCCTTCCACGCCTCGCTTTCAGTCTCAGCCCGTTTCCAGCCCTAGGTTCCGGTGTCGAACCGCCACAGCAACCCCAACTGCCACCGTTCCACCGCCATCAGTACCTGAAAGCCCAAAGCTCCAATGCAAGACCACAAAAAGTCCTGGATTGTTACACCGATCCAATCCATCCTCGCCTCACTCTCCGTCCACATTTTCTCTCCTCAAATCCAGCCTACGTTTCTCAAAAGTAAGAATTTCAAACGCTCTAACCTACAGTTCTCTATCGCGTTTTGAATTTTGTACAGTAGAATTTCGTTATTATAGAGTTTTGACTCAAAAGGATTTTGACATTTACGAATTTTTCTCTGGCCTTTTCTTTTGTTTTCGCAGAGCAGATGTGGAATATGTTTACAGAACGTGAAGACAGGGCAAGGAATGGCCATTTTGACGGCGGAGTGCTCTCATAGCTTCCACTTCCCTTGTATCGCCACTCTCGTGAAGAAGCAAGGAACCCTAAAATGTCCTGTCTGTAACGCTACCTGGAAAGAAATGCCCTTAGTCTCCATTCACAACAATCATAATCAAAAACCAGAGGTTTTAGTTGAAGAAACGAAGAGAGAACTCGCAGCTACAATTGACTTCAAGACGAAGAACGAGAGTAAACAGCATATAAGGTCTGCCTTGAAAGTCTACAACGATGATGAACCATTGATGTCGCCGACTTCAAGAACTCGATTCAATCCGATTCCAGAAGCTGATGAAAATGAAGACGAAGAGAATCTTCATGAGGAGTTTCAAGGATTTTTCGTGAACGAGAATAGGAATCCGATTGCTGAGCCAATAACGAACTCCAGAAATGTTGAGGTTCGATTGCTGCCGGAGGCGGCGGTAGTGGCTGTAGGTCGGAATAGCGAGACGTATGCTATAGTTTTGAAAGTGAGAGCTCCGGCGGCACCGTCAAAGATGGCGCCTAGAGCTCCGATTGATTTAGTGGCGGTGATTGATGTCAGCGGAAGAATGAATACGGAGAAAATACAGATGATGAAACGCACAATGAGACGCATAGTTTCGTCTCTATCTTTAGCTGATCGGCTTTCCATTGTTGCATTCTCTGCGTGCTCGAAGAGGTTGTTGCCTTTGACAAGAATGACGGCCACCGGCCGGAGATCGGCCCGCCGGATTGTGGACGCGATCATTGGTTTGGATGGAACGACGTCGAGTTCGAATGACGCGCTGAAAAAGGCGGCGAAGGTGATCGAAGATCGACGGGAGAAAAACCCAGTCGCAAGCATCTTGCTTATATCAGACGGTCACGACGAGAGATCCCCTCCCACTCAGACAAGTCGATCCTCGTTCGTGATAACCACGCGCTTCACTCACCTGGAGATTCCCGTACATTCGATCGTATTCAACCGAACCAGCGCGTATAACCACTGGCCGTCTGAAGACGCCTTTGCAAAATGCGTTGGAGGTCTGTTAAGCGTCGTCGTTCAGGATCTTAAAATTCAGCTAGGGTTCGTCTCTGATTCAGCTCTGGCGGATATTTCAGCAGTTTATTCAAACACGGGCCGACCCGCTGCTTTCGGATCAAGTTCAGTCCGGGTGGGGGATTTGTACGCTGAGGAAGAGAGAGAACTTTTGGTGGAACTGAAAGTTCCATCAACGGCTGCTGGGGCCCATCATGTACTGGCTGTTCGATGCTCGTACAAAGACCCGTTATCTCAAGAACTGTTCTACGGTAAAGAACAGGCGCTCTTGGTCCCACAACCACGCGCCGTCAGATCATCAACCCCAACCATCGAACGGCTGAGATGTCTGTCTATAACCGCACGCGCTATAGCTGAATCTCGGAGATTACTAGATCGTGATGACTTAAATGGCGCGAATCACCTGTTGGCTTCGGCTAAGGCTTTATTGTTGCATTCGAGTTCGGCTTCAGCTGTGGAATTTTTACGGGGCTTGGAAGCCGAGTTGACAGAGCTGAATGTGAGAAGACAAAATCAGATTCAGCAGATCCAACGGCGGAGAACGAATAATGAGAGGGAAGTGGCATATTTGGATGAAAAAGGTGAGCCGCTTACACCTACTTCGGCTTGGAAAGCGGCTGAGAGGCTGGCTAAGGTGGCTATTATGAGAAAGTCTTTGAATAGAGTCAGCGACTTACACGGCTTTGAGGACGCCAGATTTTAATATCTTTCCTTAAATATTAAAAAAAAAAAAACAGATGGTGAGAGATGTATAGAGGCGACAAGGGGTACCCGACGGTTCGGCGCTTTCTGCAGAGGAAAGAGATGAGATCCCACGTGATAGTGTGATTGATTTGGGTTGGGACAGTGGGACAGTGAAGGTTTGGAGCTCTATCCTTTTGTCTTTATTAACACTCGACACCCCCTTCTTTAACTATGTATATAGCTTAGTACACAGAATGTTTTAATGGGAAATGTAGAATGCATGAATAAGATGGAAGGGAAAGAGGGACAGAATGATGATGGGGGTGGGGGACTGGATGGTATTTTTTGTTTGTTGTTTCTTTGTGGTTTAATTAGACTTTTCAATGTCTTCTTTTGTTTGCTGGTTGGGTGTTTGATCATCAGATTGAATGTGTTTGTGGGTGTTACTAATGGACAGATGCTTTTTTTTATATGCTTGTTTATCTGTGCACTCGATGTTTTGGTTTCCAAAAGCCAAAAGTGGCGTGTGAAACAGTATAATGCCAAGAGCTTACGGGGTGAGAGAGAGAGAATAAAGAATACTCTTGCTTGAAGTGGAGAGTGGCACTGGATTAGTTAGAGCGATAACGATTACTTTTCAAACTGTTTTATTAAAGAAGCACTTTTACAGAGCAAACTTTCATCCCGGGGGGGACAAACCAAAAAATGCAGGGACTAGACTCCAACACACAGCCAGTCAAGCAAAACAAGGGCAATGGTAATCTGGGAGGTTTGCATATTGCACTCCCAACAGATTACCTTGCCTGTAAACAACAAGAATTTGTAAAGAAGAAGACGATTTTACATTATAAGCAAAAACAAGAATCTGGCAGGTGCCAGGAATAAGCCATTTGTCTATGGGCTGGTGTATCGTTGATTTTGGTTGAGAGGAGCTTGCTTCTCAGCATATTCAAAACCATATTCTGGATGGTAACAGAATCCTTGTGCTCATTTGTGAAGGTTCTCTGATTTCTTTCTTAGAATTCTGTAACTGCTTTCCTTTCCATTGAGTGGCCATAGGTCGTATGAGACTTTGCCAAGAAATAGGTTGTCAAGACCAATCACACTTGTTGATGATATGCCTCCAAACTCTATCTGAGTAAGAGCACTCAAAGAATAAATGAGGGAGGGATTCTGGACTAGCTCTACATAGTACACAAGTAGTACCAATGTTGGGACTCGGGAGTGAAACTATAGTGCACAGAGGAGGGTTATAGTAGACTGATGCAGTGGTGCACAGAGGAAGACTGAAGCTAAATAAAATAGCATTGCTCATAAACTAGTGTTCATCCAACAGATACTTAACAATGCCCAAGTTAACAGCATCTTGTGTAATTCTATCATGATCCATCATGAATTTTTTGTAGTTCTGATTTTGCATTTACCAATTTTGTAATTTAATTCTTAAAATTTGTAACTTATTTGTTTTGCTGGGACATGATTCTTCCAGCACTATCACCTCAACCCTACAGTCTTGACTTATAAAAACTACAAATGCACAAAAGACAAGTGAAAATCTGATTTGATTGAATCATCACGGGCTGCCTGCTTCCATGTTTTGGTGAAAGAAATCCTGAAACTGAAATTTTTGCTTGACATTATGTAGGAAAAGGATAGCCTTGCCACTCTGCTATCAGCGGATTAGGTTGATAGAGAGTAACATTTAAGAATAAACAGAAGTACTTGATGACGTTCTGAACTCGGAATGTGAGTGAGGTGCTTGAACAGAAAGATTCAAGGCTTAGTGGTGTCTCGTTGGGATAGTGGATCGATCGTAATTTGATAATACGGTTGTTGACTAATGAGGTGTGGAGCATGGAGGCATTTGTCTGTAGTACAGAGATAACAATGGAGACGGATGAGCTAATCAAGTAAAGGAGAACACAAAAATTACTAGGGCTGTAATTTGGGTTGGGCAATTCGATTTTAACCCAAACCCAACCAAAAAAATTAGGACTTGGACAAGAATTTTTAATACTTGAGTTGGGTTTGAGTCAAAAAATCTCAACCCGGGTTGAGTTTGGGTTAAGGACTCGTGAACCCGAGTTCAACCCGAACCTGACAAATTAAAAAAAAATTATATATATATATATAAAGTATTAACACTGATTTTTCATTTCTGTTCTATTGTTCTCTGTTTCTCTTATTCTCTTTGCCTCTCTCGTTAAAAACTTATTTAAAGTTATTGGTTGTTAATTTAGGTAAATATTATGTAATATATGTATTAGGTTTAGAACAACAAGCCTATTTTGGGCTCTATTCGAATTGAATCGTAAAGTAACCTAAAATCAACCTGAACCCGCCCGAATTAAACTTGGGCAGTGCTCGAGTTGAGTTCCCTAACCCAAGGTAGGGTTAGGGTTAAGGTTAGGGTTGAAGATTATATACCTAGGATTGAGCTAAGGTTGATTGTCCAACCTGCCTAACCCACCCGAGTTGCACTCTTAAAATTACACCGGTTCACCAGCAAAAGAGTTTGGCTAATCCACTGAAACACAGTCTATTGATCCTAATGTATATTACTTGGAGAAAAAAATAGAATCGATTACCCGTCCTACTTTGGTTTGTACATCCGTCGGTATTTATAATGGTAGTGATATCACTATTTGATGGTATATTTCAACGTGAAACAATTTTGTGATGACGAGTAAATGAAAGAAACAATATTGAAATTATTGGGATTTGAGTTACTAGACTCGAGGGAATGATACTGAGAATTGTTAGGGAGTTGGGGAATTAACACAGTAGAAATATAGTAGTTCACCAGCTTGAGAGCTCGGTTAATCCACTATTCAATGGAGATTTTTGCTCCTTCCTTCACTATTTACTAAACCAAAAAGGTTTACAGAATGTAAGATGTGATAGTAGGGTTTTGTCCCTCTGTTGGGGCGTTACATAATATTTATAGGGGTATCCCTTAATCTATGGGATCTGACCCGTGATCCTCGTCATCTATCCGAGAAATTATCTTTGATCTTAGGAGAGTATCTTGGTTGGTTGAGAATTTTGTGCCTTGAGTGTTACTTCAAACCGCCTGTCGAGTTCTTTGTAGTATCCAGTTGCTTCCTCATTGCTTCAGTTTATTATCTCGCTTGAAGGGAGCTCTAGCTCTAGTTTTCTGAACTCTGTATAGCTCTGACTTTCTGAGTTCAACATACCTGACCCCATGTTTGACCTCTGTTCCTGAGCTCCTACTCGGGAATCATTCTGAGTATCATCAGTTGTCCCCCAGCTCTTGGCCAAGCTAGCTTGGGCAAGGTCTGAACTTAGGATGTAATAGTAATGACTTTCCAATCAACGACTTCGAAGTTTGCACGAGAATTTTTTTTTTTTTTTTTTGCATGTAGGTGCTCCTGACCTGAACCTGCTTGAATTGATGAGGGTGGACCAAATGACCCAAGCTGAGCCCATGTCTTTTCCTGATCTCATGACGCCAGATAATCTGTTCTTGTTTAGCATCTCTATAGCTGAACGAGACTTTTCCTTTTTTTTCCTAAGTCTGATCTCTCTTCTATCGGGTCTGATGAGAGTGGGGATGTTAGGACTCATATCAAGAAACGCAAGAAGGATGATTTATCCTTTCCTTCATCCAGATCTTTCCTAGGGGAAGTTCTGTTTTCCTCTGCTAGGCAAAAATTGATGGATCTACTGTAAGCGACTAAGAAGGAGAGAGATGAGCTGAAGGAGGAGAACCTGTGTTTGAAAGAGAGGATAGCCGAACTGCAGAGACGACTAGGAATTTTTCTTTGATTGGTTTTTTTTGTAATCTTTGATGTTCTTGAAACCTTGATTTTCCCTTTCCATGTTTGTCGCTTCTTATACACAATTTGTGGCTTTGAGAATCTGGCAACTAATCTTCCATGTTGTTTCCTGGCTTGTAGACCAAAGACCCCCATTTTTTCTTTTTGTAATGAATAGAAGCTGTGAAGTTTTCCTTCTAGTCTACGTGTTGCAGGTCTTGTTTTTAGTTCTTCTGGATCGATAAGCGCATTCTGAGCTGCTGCATTTGCTTTAGGGACAGAAGAACTCGTCCTGAGCTACTGAGCTATTTTTATGGACTGATAAGTTCAACGTGAGTTCCACGGTTCTTTTTATGAACTAACGAGTTCATCATGAGCTCTAAGGCTCTTATTACGGACTAACGAGTTCGTCGTGAGCTCTAAGACTCTTTTTATGAACTAACGAGTTCATCGTAAGCTCTAAAACTTTTTTTATGAACTAACGAGTTCGTCGTGAACTCCAGGGCTCTTTTTATGATCTAACGAGTTCATTGTGAGCTCTAAGGCTTTTATTACGGACTAATGAGCTCGTCGTGAGCTCCAAGGCTCTTTTTATGAACTAACAAATTCATCGTGAGCTCTAGGGCTCTTTTTATGAACTAATGAGTTTATCGTGAGTTCTAAGGCTTTTATTATAGACTAATGAGTTTGTCGTGAGCTCTAGGGCTCTTATTACGAACTAATGATTTCATCGTGAGCTCTAAGGCTCTTATTACGGATTAATGAGTTCGTCATGAGCTCCTGGGCTCTTTTTATAAACTAACGAGTTCATCGTGAGCTCTAAGGCTCTTATTATGGACTAATGAGTTCGTCGTGAGCTCCAGGGCTCTTTTTATGAACTAACAAGTTCGTCGTGAGCTCCAGGGCTCTTATTACGAACTAATGAGTTCGTCGTGAGATCGAGGACTCTTTTTATGAACTAACGAGTTCGTCATGAGCTCTAAGACTCTTATTACGGACTAATGACTTCGTCGTGAGCTCTAGGGCTCTTTTTATGAACTAACGAGTTCATCGTGAGCTCTAGGGCTCTTATTACTTACTAATTAGTTCATCGTGAGCTCTAAGGCTCTTATTACGGACTAATGAATTCGTCGTGAGCTCCAGGACTCTTTTTAGGAACTAAAGAGTTCATCGTGAGCTTCAGGGCTCTTATTACAAACTAATGAGTTCATCATGAGCTCATAGGCTTTTATTACGGATTAATGAGTTCGTCGTGAACTCCCGGACTCTTTTTATGAACTAATGAGTTCTTCGTGAGCTCCAGGACTTTTTTTATGACCTAACGAGTTCATCGTGACCTCTAAAGCTCTTATTATGGACTAATGAATTCATCGTGAGCTCCAAGACTCTTTTTATGAACTAATGAGTTTATCGTGAGCTCTAGGGCTCTTTTTATGAACTAACGAGTTCAACGTGAGCTATAAGGCTCTTATTACGAACTAATGAGTTCGTCGTGAGCTCCCGGGCCCTTCGTAAGAGTGAATGAACCACAGACTTGCTGTTTTATTAATAATCATATTACAGGACAAACTTACTGAAAAAATTTTCTAAAATGTTTTGCATTCCAAGAGTGGGGTTAAATTTTCGCCGGGTCTGTTTTCATCCGTGGTGGCTACCTTAGG